AAATTCAGAGGGATATTCTGAAATTCAGGGAATGGATGATTGCTTACCATCGACATGGACCCCACCAAGCGATATCTTCTGGATCTGGCATTGTATTGATCCATTTAAAATGTTTTTCCTTATCACAATGCTTTGTAAAGTTCCATCTTACCATCGATGATCCACACAAACAGGTAATTCTTTTACCCATTGAAGCTGAAATTATTTTCTTCATCATATCTTCGCTGACTTTTGGTGAATAAACTTCAATATTAGGGAATGTCGAAAACGGATGCCTACCACAGCGCTCATGCAATGGCTTTCCCGTACACTTCAATCCACTGTCCAAAATGTAATTGCACATTCTTGTACAAGTAGTAATTGTATATACTTTAAATTTCTTGTCTCTAAATAGAAAACTTTTTCATCCTTAATATAACGCATTTTCATGACACGTTATTATAAGATATGAAGGTATGTTCATATAGCTCAAAAATCGGGAAATTCTCCATTTCAATATTAGCATATAGATTGGTGCTCTATCCCTTGTACAGAGAAAGTTAAGAAAAAGTGCATTCAGGGTACGTAATGGTATAGACAGTCCTCAGCGTACTATCTACGTGCTGTGAAAAAAAAATGGCTATGAAACCAGTATCTGTCAACTACTATGGTGTCCCTCCAATTCGAGCTGAGAATTCGATTCCACCGGTTTGTCTGCGACACCAATCCACCAGCGTCACCGAGCCCAAACTTGCGCTCAAGGTGTTTACAAATCACACACACCTCCAAGTTTCTAACGTCTTCTGGCAAGGACGACAGAAACGAGTTCGGTAGAGTCGTGTTGAGAACATGGCGCATGGCAGCATCCGCCTTTCGCCACACATGATCTCTCTCCGCATAGCTTTCGGCTCTTCCTCTGGAGCTGCCTTGACGTCCTCATCCAAAAGATGTGGTGGCGTTGACTCGAGGAAGTCCCTCATGCCAACTTTTGGTTCAGGAAGACCTTTCTCGAAGAGCTCATTCTCAACGTCCAGGTCTAACTTCGCCACGTACGTGAGTAGCTTGTCCTTCCACGTAGCATACTCAATTTGCCAACCGGAGAATTTCTCCAGGCCAACGTGCACGGTCTTCTCATGTTGCTTCATGGTACTCACCCGAAGTATCTGAAATGTTGTTATCTTGAGCGTAGTTGCAGTAGTTGTGTAGTTAACCGTCAGACGGAGCGGCTAATCCAAAATGAGTGCCGTCCACAGCTCTTCATCCGGTTGCGTTCTCTTTTCCTATGCCGTGGTTGGCATTGGAGCTCAGTAAATTGTTTTAAGTAGACTAAACCATACAATTTCCAAACGTACGGTCATCTGTTTCTAAACGAGATTAGAATGGATTTGTTTCTCCAAAAGTTGGTACTTAACCTATCCCATAACAGAAGACCTACAACAGGGACATGACGGGGCGTGGGCCGGGGATCACCGAACGCAGTCGCGCATTCAACACCAGCCCAAAACGACGCAACGAGTTCAAACAGATTACGTTATGTTTCCTCCAACTAAACGCATATTAAGGGCCAACCAAGTCGGCACTAACCACGTCGAGCGCGTCGGCAGCTTTATGTAATGATTTAGTGTATATAATCACTTCAATATATTGTTTTAAGAGCGGGTATGCTGAATGCGTGCACGCAGAGATCATCTGGGCCCCCATTTCAACTTCGCCGACAGTCGCTGCAAGGTCATTCCGCGATTTGCGCCCAGGAAGGAATCGGCTCAAGCCTCCAACGTCGTCAATCTTTGCCCGTCTTTCTTCTTCTCTCTTTACGTGTTCCAATGGTTGTGAAACTTCTGCAACACGAGCACGGTAAGGGCCGCGTGCGTATGCTCAAGGTGACTCGCACACCCGAGAAGCACTCGGTGATCCAGTTGGAGGCGGAGGTGCTACTGGAGGGTGCACCCGCCGCCAGTGCCTACTATGACGGTGACAATGGCCGCGTGCTTCCCACGGACTCGGTCAAGAATACGGTGTGGGTGTTGGCCAAGAAGCATGAGTTCGCTTCGCTCGAGGATTTTGGCGTTATCCTCGCCAAGCACTTTGTCACGAAGCACCCAGACATTGTACGTCTCTCTTTCTTCCAGTACCAAAGGTGGGTAGACTACGAGCTAACCGTGCTTGCTTGTGTGGACATTTTTACCAGATCAGCGTGGCCAAAGTGAAGCTGTTTGAGACGCCATGGCAGCGCGTGGTGGTGCCCGACTCCAAGGGTAAGACACGTCCGCATCATCACGCCTTTGTCAGCGCCAGCCCGGGCTTCTCCACTGCCTAGTATGTCGATCACTGTAACTTGGTATAGCCTGCAACATACACTCACTGTCACGTGTTGCTTATTTGTTCGTTTTCTATAGTGTGGTGGCTCGCAAGTCGGCGTACGGCGCCCCAGATGTGACGGTGCAAGGCGGTGTGGACGGCCTCAAGGTGCTCAAAACCACGCAGAGTTCTTTCGTCGACTTCTTCCGCGATGATTTCACGACGCTACCGGACGTACCTGACCGCCTGGTCTGCACATGTGTCACGGCGACGTGGAGCTATACACCCGACGCCATCGGCGGAGACTTCGTTGCCAGAGTGGCAGAGATCAAGAACGTGCTACTTGAGACGTTTGCGGGTCCAGCCGATGTGGGTGTGTCCAGTCCTGCCGTGCAGTTTACGCTGTACAAAATGGGCGAGGCTGTGCTGGAGAAGTGCCCGTACGTCAAAGACATCAAGATCACAATGCCTAACATCCACAACAATCCCATCGACCTGTCCCGCTTTGGCTGCAAGAACATCCATCCGCACGGCGAAGTGTTCCTGCCGACGGACGAGCCACACGGCATCATCTCGGCCACGATGGTGCGCGCGGCGTCCAAGCTGTAGGCTGCGTCTCTTTTTCTTGGCTGGTCTTCAGCCAGTATCCTCTTTTGAGTACATTTAAAACTGATAAGAAACCTTATGGAAAGTACTGAGGTGGTGCTGACAGCATAGTGCTGTCTTTATTATTGTTGATAGCTTTGTCTTTGCGTGGATCAGTATCCAGCAACACTCTGCAGACTTTCGGCTTGTGTGGCTCGTGGAAAGGTATGGGTAGTCCGACTTGACTTTTTTCCTGTACACGCTTGAGTTCTTCAATGCCAAGGCTTTCGTTCGCCCTCACGAGATATATTATACACGATACAACCCAGGCTTCGGGCTGTGTGCACTTCAGTACTTTCAATCGTTCGGAAACACTTCGTTTTGATAATCCTGCACAATGCTTCCGAACCGCTGGATGCACTCGACATGGGGGAAATAATGCACTTCAAACACTGAGCGATCATAAGCCAACACGTTTCCCACCATCTTCACAACTTTAGGAACCGAGGGCTGTGTCACTGAAGATCCAAATAGACTTGTGGCTTGAGCTGCAACAGAGTGAGTGACTGCCCGAGCGTACACCAGTCCTTCATCCACTAGTAACGACATCGCCTCCCGAGTGTCCTGCAACGACAGCAATTTGTTCATCTTGGTGTGAGCACGCTTTTCCGTGATACCTGGGGCCTGGATTACCAGCGATAGCAACTTGCGCTGGATAGAGAAGAGGAACTTGTAATTTGTTCCACCGTCCATCTTGAGCCAAGGGAATGACAGTGTGTCCTTTTCTCCTTCGAAAACGACCTGGGGTGTCGACGATGAAGTCACGCTGGAAACCAGCGAGAACGGTCGTAACATCCACACGTCTCCATGTTCCTTCACGATGTAGCGCTGATCGTAGTACGCGTTAACACAAATGAGCTCGCCCTGGTCAACAAGCGCGTCCAGACAACGTGCCACACTCATTCGCAGTTCACCGTCGCTTGTTGAGCATACTTTATCCATCAGAGATGATGACGTCAGACCTTCCTCTCCGCCTTCACGCACGTGAGCAACCACAGATTGACTCAGCACTTCATCCGATTCCTTGCACTGTCGAGACGCAGCTTCATCCAGTCCATTGTTGTCGTCGGTTTCTTCCATAGAAAACGCCTCGCAAGCATTCAGCAGATCTGCGTCCTCCACACTCACAGCATGCATCTTGGTCTCCACTCGCCAGCTGTCGATGAGATCGGACGCCCTCGCGACATTCACCTTGTTGGCCAAGTGAGCAGCGAAGCCAGACCTGTCCTTCAGACTCTTGCACGTTAAGAGACTTTCCCTCTTCGTAGAACTAGGTAATCTCTTGCCGTTTGTCTGCTGAGTTGCTAGAGCGTCCTCTACCCCCTTGTCCGTATCAAAAGACGAGGAGTGAACTGCTGTAAGCGAGCACGTTCCAAGCACTTGACATCCCAGTTCAAGAGCACACTGGCCCGGCGTAGCATTTGTTGGAAAATCATCCTCGAAGAGCTGATCACTCTGTCTCACATCTTTCGAGTCCCCCGCAATCTCCTCCAGTGTAGAACTAACCATACTCTCCTGCTCCACAGCCTGCTGAAATAACAGCAAAGGATACGACAACGTCGTTACCTTGAGTGAGTCCTGCAGTCTCTTGCTTGTGCAATAGCCGCGACCTCTTTCCTTCTCTGATGCACGGACGATCCAGTTCTTTAACCAAAGATATCGCCAAACCTGTCGAATCTCGTGTGGAGTCCAGAACGAGATCAGTTCTTCAGCCACAAGTGGATGATACTCTTCTCTGGGAGACACAATCATCATCACTGCGCGTCGAAAGAGTGCTGTAAGTCTCGTCGATCCTTGAATCGCAACTTCCTCGTCAAATAGACCGCCAGGGTTGTCAGCCAGAGCCGCTTCCCGCTTTGCGCGCTCGAACAACAGCTTCACCACAGGCTCCATGAGTTTTTCTTTTAGACGTTTCTTCACGTCAATCTTTCTTTTGCCCAGTTTCCGTGCGATTGCCACAAGACCGAAACCTGTTCGTGAAATCGTATGGTTTCGGAAAGCGACTTGCTCCTTTTCACGTTGTAAACCTTGCGGGATGGCAATCTTCCACCGGCTTTTGCAGTTGTCAATAAAATATTCCACTAAAAGCTGCTCGTGCTCGTCCGTCCAGGTGAGTGTTTCAGAGTTCGACGGGTCCTCGTCCAAGTCGTCTGGGTATTTCTTCCTATGCTTCCGTCTGACTCCATCACTGCCATCGCCATTAGGTTGAACCTGTCGCCGCCTTTTGCGAAGTCGGATATTAGAAGACACAATACCGCTGCTCTTAAACTGAGAAGAGTCTCCTTCACCTCCCTCCTCACGTTTATGTTTGGCTACTGGTTTCCGCGATTTCGGTATCCATGCGAGGATACGAAGCATTCGTCGAGCACGCGTCCTAACAGGCTTAGGTACCTTACACACGGCTGGCTCATTTCTTCTTGGTGTTTCCACTTCCATTGCCATCTGCTCTAGACAAAGGCATTCGAGAGCTTCCCAATAGCGATCAACATCATCTCCCGACTCGAACGAAAACTGGAGCGGTAGCGTGTTTGAGAAGCTGTACGTCTTCTCCGTAAATCCAACAATACGGATCGAGTCAAGCTCGTTCACACCACGGCGTTCTGTACCATCCTCGGTGTCGTCCTTGTTGTCACAGTCGTTCAGCATAATTCTGACCTGCTTGTTAAACCGAAAAAGCCCACCCAGTGCGTTGTCCTTGAGCGCACGAGATAGCACACCGTCCCGCCCATCCGTATACCCGGCTCGAAGGATTTTAACCAGGTGTTTCATTCCGATCTTGTGCGGTTGCACCAACCCTAAATCTGCAAGAGTGCCCAAAACTTTTGATGTTCGCTGAGACTCGTGGCACCAAATCTTTTCGCGGAGTGCCTCCGGAATAGCGTCAAATGTATGCTTGTGGGCAATGGCTTCCTCAACGATAGCAAACTCAGCGTCTGTCAGAATCCCTCCACCCGAGAAGATCTGGATGTATAAGTGCACGGGCATCGAGTGCAATACTGATTCACGTGAAAACACAATCCCTGGATGTGGAGCTTGGTCACCCGTAGCAGAGCAATTGCCTTCCTCGTTCAAGCTTTGGATAGATGCGTCGTTTCCATCACCAGGGAGCTGCAGGTTCGACCCGTTTTCATGCAGTGTAGTCCACAGAAATCTATGTAGAATTTTACATCGATACATGACACCGTAAGCGAACCCGAGCTTCCTGAATTGCTGGTTATGAATCCCCGACTTCTGTTGGCTCACAAAGCGTCGAATCTTGTAGCTTATCTCATTCCTCCCAGGTGCAGCTGGGTTGATAGTCTCCGATTCGATGTCAGAAGCATGTCGAATTGTTTCGATTCCAGTACCCGATACACCATCTGCATCAGATATCGAGTCCTTGGTCTCATTAGTGTTCGGTTTAGATTTCCTTGAATCGGCCCGTGGCCTCTTTCGAGATGATCCAGGTTCCATTTCCTTATTATTTTCACTTCCAATCTTGTGAAAACGAACCACTTCGCTCTGATCAGCATTCCGGTGAATACGCCGCAAGCGCTCATCGCGACAGTAGTTCTTGACAAAACCTTGAATGAAAACATCGTTGTGCTCGTATCCAGGCGCAACGACACAGCGGAGAGCACGGAATTTAGTCGAAACATTACGTGCAGGCAAAGGGAGCTGCAATAATCTCAATTTCTTCGCGACTTCCAGTTCGGTTGCAATGCGAAAAATCGACCGCGTGTCCACCTTCCCCACTGCAGCAGGCGACATTAAACTATTCACATTGCTGTGGGTTTGGGATTCGCCATCTGCGTTGGTGAAGTTTATCTCTGCGCGCTGCTTCTCCATACTAAATACGCTGTCACGCAGCGACGACAGACTGATTATCTTCTCGTCCTCGAGTCGCTCTAAAATGTGTTCGCGACGTCGAGCACTCGTCCCATCGACTTCTGCTCCACCAAGCGCCACTTTCAATGCCTTATTGTTTCGAACTGTGTAATGTCGTTCCACCTTCATTCCTGTAGCTACTGGTACTTCGTCTCCATTCTCACCTTTCGACGTCTCGCTATCTTGCGGCAAGGTGTTGTCGGCGATCTTCTGGTCCTTGTTGCTGTTAGCCCTGGGTGCCATCGAGTCCAAATACAGTCGGAAAGCTTTGTTCTTTCCCAAGATAATAGACTCGGCTTTCAAGCTGTACATTCCGGCCAACACGCCCACCAATTTATAGGGCAATTTGCTCCCTGGTAGCACAATTTGGTTTCGTAAATCGATAATTGTGGCTCCATTCTCGGCGCTGTCCTCAATAATCCCATATATCTGGCGAAGCAAACCGAGCTCCAACACAATACCGCGACGATATGCCGAGTTTTTGCGGGTGTTTGGCGATTTGTACCGCACGCAATTTAGAATTTTAGGTTCGAGACTGGCACGTCGCGACGGCTGCAAAACTGCCTGGAACAACTCCAGCGGGAAATTCTCGTCCACTTTACACTCCTGCATAATATGGGAGCGTAATACCTCCAGGTGCCGCTTCTGCAAGCTCAGATCGCGTCCGAGATCCGACAAAACCGACGAGTGAGTCGGCAGTCCTTTCAAATACTTCTCCGCTGCTGCACACAAAATCTTCCTGCTCTGTTCGTCCGACTCAAAATCTGCCGATTCGTCAAACATTTGAGGTCTGAATTCTGCAGCGAACCGTGGCAGGTGGATGATGTTCAGTCGACGCATCGATGGTCGAGCCACGATCATCATCCGCTTGACCACCAGTCCGTTCGAAATGAGCGTATCCAAACAATTGTGCAGCCTTTTTACTGTGCCACCACTCAGTAAATTAGTCAACGTCATAACTGTAACTCCCTGTACGCGCGCACGGCCCACCGCCTCGAGGATGACAAGATGTTCCGGTCCGAGATCCGCGGCGATCGCCTTCACTGGGATATTGAGCGCTCGGTGGCGCAGTTCTTCGCATGCTGCCACCACCACCTGTTTGTCCTGTTCCAGCTGCTCATCCACTGCTTCATCGTACGTGAGGAGCGCTAGTTCGTCGGTCGTCAGAGCTGCCGTGTCATCAAACGCTAAAGCCCCGGCAGCTTGCAGCATTTCGCACTTGATCTCGACCAGGTTCTCGTCATTGTCAGCGGGTCCAGGTCGTTTGCGTTTCTTGCTGGATGTCTGCCTGGAGGACGCGAAGCCTCGAAAAAAAAGCAAAACTCCGCGACTCGAGCGCAACAGCCGCCATACCTGTCGACGCACGAGAACGTCGTTGCTCGGCTCAACGCTAGAGAATAGAGAAGCCACAGACAGGCCAGCGCTTCCTTCAAGTGCGATGTGATCCATGCACGCGGCCACCAGCTCGCGCGGTGAGCGCGCGCGCACAGAAGACATGGCGCCAAGAGGTTGATACTGTGAGTTTGGATGGCAATGGTGGTCGGAGTCACTTAATTTGTGATTTGTGCGAGTTATTTGGCTCATGGCTACATGAATCCTAAATCGCTTTCTAAACTATTTCTTCACGATTTCTAACGACTCATTTCTAAAGTTTGTGATACGTATTATTTATTTGAGTCGTGGCTACATTTGCCCTTGAGATAAAAAGGCCGTTTTTAGGTGCCATAGAACTGCGACCATACTGAGCGCCAGTCGATCCTCACTGTCCCCACATTTGGAGATTCTGATGATGCAACCGATGGTGGTGCAGCAAGCGCGGCGCTCGCTGTGGCGAATGGCTCGCTGGTCATCTCAGTCGCCCCCGCGGATACTGGCGCATAACCTTTCGACACAAGCGCCCAGTGCATCTACTCACGCAGTCAGCTTCAACAACGAGGATAGCGCCACTCCCACCGAGTCCCTGGACAAGCCCCAGAGCCGTAAGACTACGACTAGTACCAAGAGTTTCAACCTCATGAGTACGCACTCGCCGGGGACTCGAGACGCAGCGCAGAGCAACGGACCCAGCTCTGCGATCTGGAAGCAGTCGCCCAAGAAGAACCGATACCGCCGGAAGAAGGGCAAGGGCAACAAGTGGTGGGCAGATATGGATCGTGTGTCCTTCCGCGTGCTGCTGACTGAGGGAATGAGCTCTAACAAGGTCTCGGCGATGCTGCGCAAGTATATGGATGAGTTCCCGATCCTGAACAACAATTGGACGGACCAAGAGCTGGTCATGATCGTCTGCACGCTCATCAAGATGAATCGCAGCAAAATGGCGCTCGATGTGCTGCGTAACCAGATTAAGGTGCCCAACCGCGACCGTCTCAACCGCGTTGCAGCAGCGAGTGCCAGAATGGGTAATCCACAGGTGGCTCTGGGGGTGCTGGAGATCGCCAAGCACTTCAACTTAGCACCAGACGTGATTACTTTCACTAGTGCCATCCACGCCTGCGCTCGCGGCGGCAAGTACGATGCCCCCATGGCTCTGACGTTGCTGAACGAGATGATATCCTCTAACGTACAGCCTAATGCACGCACGTACGGCGCAATGATCCTGGCGTATGCGCGAATGGAACGCTGGGAGGAGATCGTGGAGCTTGTGAACTCTATTCCATACATGGACGACGCACACAAGACTGAGGTGTTCACGTGTGCAATTATCTCATGTTCGCGCAATCGCCAGCATCACTATGCTTCCAGACTCTTCAAGTTGTTACTAGAAGACGGAGTTTATCCGGGTGATAACGTCTGCAACGCCGCTCTTAGCTCCTGCGCACGGACTTCGGACGTGACACAACTTCGCCGCATCTTCAAAGTGGTGGAGAATCACGCTGTACCCTCGACGTACTCGTACAACTGCATGATCTCGGCCTATGGCAATACTCGCAACATGGAGAAGGCGCTTGAAGTCTTCGAAGACATGCGGAGTCAAGCTACAATTTCCCCAGATATCGTCACTTACAACTCGCTGCTACTTGCTGCAGTACGCTCACGGAGACTGGACATGTTTCCTTTTATTTTGTCACTGATGAGCGAAGCTGGTATCAAGTGGGATTCTATCACGCTCAACGTTCTATTGGAGGGCTGCGCTTTGAACGGCGATGTGGTACTGGCCCAGCACTACTGGTCACAAGCGACTCAAGGCAAGGATGCGTTTTCAGTGGATGAGCAACATGTTTCCCTGGATCGCTGGCACTTTGAGGTGCTTATGTCTGTGTACTACAATGCGAAGGATTATAAGGCCATCGTGGATTTGTGGCGGAAGAACAGGAACTGCCGACGCCGAGCAAAAAGCTCCAAGTCTCTCAACTTCCTGATTCGTGCGTGTGAAGGTCTAAAGGATGACAAGACGGCAGTGGCGATCCTGGCTGAGTTCGCTGATCGTGGCCAACCTCTTTCATCCGTTACGCACCACCACATGCTTGAAGTCTTCCTAGCTGCTGACAAGTACGCGGCGGCGTCGGCTTATCTGCACAAGATGATGGAGACGGACGGCTTAGTGTCCACCTTCGCATTCACTGCGTTCATAAAGTATCTGGCCAAGAACAAACGCCACTCGGATGTGCTGGCGATGTTTAATCTGTACCTGGAAACTCGCGAGTCTAAAGGGCAGAACTCGTTGCTGGAATACCCAAATGATGCTGTCTACGTGCTGGCGATGCGCTCGGCCGTGGAGCTTGAGGATCACGAGACTGTGCTTGCGATCTACAGTAGTTTGCCGACCAATATGTCGATGGCTGTTCATACACAACTGCTCGTGTTGGCTGTGTCGTCGTGCGAGCGTGAGGGGGACTGGCGTGCTGCTGTGACGATGTATGATGAGATGACTGGGAGACTGGATGAAGACACGAATGTGGAAATGTACAAGCACATTGTCAAGATTGTCGCCAGTGCTGGAGAGTTTGATCGTGCCCTCGACGTGGGTGGTGGTCAGTGGTACCGACAGAATAGACCCGACCAAGGCTGGGGACTGTAAGTCGAAGTGTCAGACGCAAGTGTCGTGCAAGTTTTGTATCCTGTTACTCCTCGGGTACTCCAAAAACTGGCCAGCATCCGAGTAGTATGAGATGACGGCACGTAATAATGCGAACTCGTTCACTAGAAGCTAACTGTATTTGGGTGAAAATCTACTCCATCCATTTGATAGAGCCCACCAACAGATTGCGCGAAGGCAGCGGACCCGGTGACGGCACAAGCAGCACCAGCTTTTGTTCGGCCACTCGAACCTCCTTACTGAACAACAAAACAAGTGCAAAAAAATGTAAGGAAAGTCTTATCAATGCAATCATATCACTGGCACACACGTACATGAACACGAAGCCTGCTGCAGGGGCTCCTAGGAGCCACGAGAGGTCTGCTGACGAGAAGGAGGAAGCGTCTTGGCCGTGTCGCGGGTGTGCAACAGCCGCCAACGAGTGCCCAAGGTCAGCCGTTTTCTCCACGGACACCACGCGCAGGCGGTCGGTCTGCGTCTCCACTTGACCCACTGGAAGCATCACGTCCGACACCTTCATGTCTGTGCACGGTAGCATTAAATACGTCAGTAGTAGCCCACTCAAATCTTAAACATACCACCGCGTACCTTTAATCGCGAAGAATGAAACGTCATCGAACGAGAACTCATTGATACAGGGCGACAGCGTGGGGATTGCTAGACTCAGCGAGTGAGCACCGTAAAAGTATTCGCGAATGCAGCTGATACGCGCCGCCGAGCGCATTTTGCTGTTTAGCGGGACCACTCCACCCGACCGCGACAGCTTGACGATGGACCTATCCACGCCATTCGCGTTCGCACCCGTCAGCGCGCTTTGTAGGCGGCTGTAGAGTCTATCCTGACCGATGACCAGCACAACGTCGACGTCGAAGTCCTTGATGGCGTGCACCAGTAGGTCAAAGCCTGCGCCGTCCACCCAGCCGCAAGTGTTGATGACGCACCCAGACGCGTTTACTTCCCCATCATTAGCCAATCTTCTCTTCACTGCCCTAGCCAGTTGGTGCTGCTGGTAGCGGAAGAGCTCGATGTTTTCAGAAGACGCAGTGTGGCCGTAGAAGTAGGCTAGTGGATTGGTCAGGATGAAGTCCTCCTCAATACTGAGCGAGTTCATGTCCAGCGGCGACGCCGAGAGCGTTCCCGGGACGCTCAGGCAGCCTTGACCCACATCCAACTCCACGAGCGTGGGCTTTTCGCCTAGACGCAGAGCGTAGTTGGCGAGGATCTGCGTGAGCGTGGACTTACCGCTGTCCACGGGTCCACAGACAAGCACCCGTGGGCCAGCGGCATGTTTAACCTTGGACAGTTCGCGACGACGCTGCAGCTGAGCGTGGATGTTAAGGTAGCTGTCCATAGGCGTCTCCTCTGACGTGTAGGCCTCCTCGGGAGCGCCACGCACCTCCAGCGTGCAGCCATACCATGTGAAAATAGCCACTTTGCGATCACGTAACACGTACTCATGATCAATGGCCAGCTCCACGCCAAAGAGCTCGGCCGATCCACTCTTAAGCTTGATACCCACTTCTGTTTGTGGCGGTACTTCCACGCGGTACTCGCACTCGCGCGCCAGCACCACCTCCGTCGTCGCCGCCTCCGCACTCATGCTTGTCTTCTGTGAAGTGATGGTTTGTATTTTATGTACGCAACTCCAAAACAAATGCTGATATGGCTACATTTTCATTTCGATAATGCTAAGGCGCACTGCAATAAAGCGACAGCCCTGGACTAAGGACGCAGCTGCGCGGCGCCGAGAGACGCTAGCGCAGCAACGACAGGCTCGTCGAGACCTCACAGCACATGCGAGACAGCTGGCGCAGCAACAGGAGCCACCGTCGCCCCATGGAGGAGAAGACGCGCAACCTATGGATGGCGTCATATCCGCTACATCCAAGCGCCGGACCCGTGAAGAGCGCGTTAAACAGCGACGTGAACATTTCTCCAAGCAATTGATGACACCTGAGTGGCTTATTGACATCCCCAAGGACCTCAACGGCAATGGCAGCTTGCTGGGTGAGGGCTGGTATGTTCTGCCGCGTCCGGAGGGCAAGCGGTGTCTCGTGGTGGCCAACGGGTACGCTCCAGTTGCGTAATTAGCGGGTACGGATGGAGGTTACTCATTGATTTACTGTCTGTGGCTATGTGTAGAGGTAATACCATTGCTCGGATCCCGTCAGGGAGTATCTTGAAGAAGTTCCCATCGGCATTGCCCTGCGGCTCTCACAAAACCAACAAATCCAACGACGGCTACTGCATCCTGGACTGTATTTTCCAGGAGCAGAACGAGACTTTCTACGTGCTGGACGTCATGTGCTGGAAGGGATACTTGCTCTACAACTGCACCACGGAGTTTCGACTGTACTGGATGCGCGATAAGCTGTCAGAAGGAGCCACTGGGATGACAGCACCTGCCAATCCGTTCCGATTCTTGGTGAGTGAAGCGCCCGCAAAGATGGCTGCTTGATGCCATACTTAGTCTAACTATTGGATATGTGTAGCCCGTTCCGAGCTATGAGAGCGACCAAGAAGGTATCATGGCGGCATATTCCACAACGTATCCTTTTCTCAAGTACGTCTTCTGTTGGGTGGTGATCGGTCAATGATTTACTTACAGCTTACTTGTTAATTGCGCGTGTTGTGCAGAGATGGCCTACTTTTCTACATGAAGGCAGGTCACTACGAGATGGGTCTGTCACCGCTGGCGCTGGTGTGGAAAGATGCCAACACAAGTCGCTTCTTCGTCTACTCGGCAAAGCCGTCCATTGTACTCCGTTTTGAAGGAGACAACGAGTTTGTGACGTTGGAAGGCATTGCCTTGTTTACCGCCAATCAAGACTTCATCCAGGAGCATGAGGTTTGTATGTGGAATTTAACTCTTGGTATGGTGGCTTACTAGTTATCATCGACAAACTGTTGCTTGTAGCTGAACGAAGGAGACCTCGCGAGTTTTTCTTTCGAGCAGACTGAAGTAGACGAGAGCCAAACCCCGCATCTAACTGGTCTGACATTTGTGAAACGATGCTCACCCCAGCGAGCCCTCCCGGACAGTTGGACTAAAATTTTGTTTCAGTACAACGCGCGGTCGGGTGGGGTCCCTATTGAGCGGATCTTAGAGGTGCGTGCTTGATTTTTTTTCAGTAAGGAACGTATACCGAACTATTTACTAACGCTTAATGCTGTTTCTTGTTCGAGTAGGCCGCTCACGCGCAGACCACGGAAGTTGTGATGGAAGGATAGACTTACACGAGCAGTATTAATTCTTTCGACTGAACGAAATGGTGGGGACTATTAGGCATAGTCTCTTGATCGTGCTTGGCCGTGACCTTGTACAAGCATGTTTCCGCGAAAGAATGGCAGCGACTGATTTTGCTGGCTCTGCTGTTGTTGCTGATTGTTTTTGCTGGATTTTTGTTTGGCAGGGGATGCTGTGCTTTGCTTCCTACAAGCTTCTTTGAGGTCAGTCAGACCGCCAATGGAACGGGTGTGAGGAGTGATGGCTGGTAGGCGGCTGCGCTCACTAGAACTGTCGATTTGACTCTGTGGTCTAATCTTGTGTGGCAATGGAAGGTCTTTCGTCAACATTTCTTGGCGCTCTTCACCAAACTCAGCAAGCTGCCGTTGCTGCTGCCGCATTGCGATGATGGCATCTGCTGTTGGGATTCGAGGGCGCTTTTGGCTGCTTGGAGTTCGCAGTGGTAGACCCATGAGGAGCTTAAACTTTCGTGAATCTCGAGCAAGATACGGCTCCTGGTCAAGTTCATCAAAGACAAGAGCCTCCTCGAGTGGGATCGTATAGCGGCCAATTGGTTGTTTCACTGGCGTTCGTCGTAGCTGCTCTTGCTCCAGTCTCCATTGAAGTTGAGGAAGAAAGTCTTCGGATGCAACCGCCGAGTCCTGGTAAAATGGATGGAATGGAGCGTAGAGCTCAGAAAGAAATGCAGAGCGCACAGCCCGGTTGCGCTCGAGCTCCTGCCGTTGTCTGGCGACTAGTGAAGATCTCTGATCCTCTGCAGACATGCAAGCCTGCTCGTGCAGTAGCTGACGGACCCTCGCAGCAGCAGCTTCACGTAGCTCCTTTCTGATCTGGCAGGCAAGCTGATCCTCAAGTCGCATCCTGTTCTGGTCTCGCAGAAGTTGATCACGCTGCCAAGACGAGTATTCATCTTCTCTCTGCATTTGGCTTCGCTCGGTTCGTTCACGCGCAAGCTCAAGATCCGCTTTACGCTGAGCTTCGAGTTCTGCTTGGTGCTGCAACACCTTCCTCAGTTCAGCTTGGCGTACACGACGGAATTGGAACGCTTTCTCTTCTCGTTCCTTCTCGATGCGAGCCCGCTCCGCCTGACGCTCCAGCTCCAGAAGCCTCTCAGCCTCTTGCTCTTCCAGCAACCGTTGACGCTCACGTTCCCGCTCCAACTGCTCTTCTTCCTCGAATTCTTCGTCCCCGTTATCGATCCCACTGCCAGCTCGCCATCCAGATGAAGCCACCTTTCGATAATGCGGTGGCAGATTGCCAAAGAAGTACGACCGTGAGAAATCTGTCCGCTTTGGTACAACTAGAGATGGTTCCTCAATCTCCTCATCGCTCTCCACGAAGCTGTCGTTGTACTCGCGCGAGAGGGCGTCTTCTCGTGCCATATAGATGAGTTCCAGCGTGATCTTTGCATTTTCATCTTCTAGTCTTCGCAGCTCCTCTTCTTCCTGTTCACGTTGGTTATCAATGGAGTCATCGTTGGATTGCTCTACTATTACGACTTCGGGATCCTCCGGTACCTCCTGATCTTCGACTTCAATCAACTCTTGAGTTTCAGTCTTGTCGACAATTTCGCGTTCGACAAACCCGAACAAAGTCACAAGAGGGAGCGGCAACGTCTCCATGACAAGTGGCGCTGGGAGTTTTCCATACCGAGCGACACTAGCGATTCGACTCTTGCGTCTCAAGTAGAAGAGCTTCTTCTTCAGGAAAGTATGTCGCGCTGTCTCGGACCTGAAGTACGACTCGAAGAAGTCTTCGATGACCCCCTCTCCATTCTCATTCTGCCGCTCCTTCTCCAAGATCTCCAGAATCGCTTTGTTTGTCGACGCTTCATGAGCTTCGCGTTTAAGGAAATCGCGTCGGTGGATATTACGACTGGCTGTCCACCACGGAACGAACTTGCCTGCTAAAGCCAAGATATCAAAGTCCTCCATGCACGAGCCAGAGACGTCGGGCAGCTCGATATCGTTCCTCATGGCTGCGATTTGAACTGCAGGGTCCATCAAAGCCAGCATGATTTCCTTCTGCTGGGTCTCCAGACTCGTGTTTTCCCATGACGTCGGGCTGTCCTTATCGGTCAGTAAACGCTTCACGAAGTGCTCAAAAATGAAGACCTGCTGAGGTGGTGCACACTCTTCTTCGCAAGGCCCCGCTCTCTCCTCTTCCTCTTGGACTTCTAGCTCAGATTGAGCAACCATACGCAGTCGTAACTCCAAATACTCAGTCCGAGCTTTCAATCGCTCTCTTTGTAACACCTCAGGTGGAATGGTCTGATGTCGGGAGGTTTGACCCAAGCAGTACCAAGAAACGAACTCTTGCCATGCAGCTGAGATAGATTGACCGATCTGCTCGGCTGGGGGAGGTGAGAGACCCACGTCTGCTAATTTCTGGCGGATAATTGGATCAGTTGCTGCAAACAGCAATTCCTCAGTGAGAAAGCGCTCCCGAATTCGCTGGTGATGACGATGTGTTGCTGCGAACCACCTCGTGAATGATCGTACTCCCAACTGCACCGGTATCTCTACGCTCTCAAAGTCTTCGATGGGTGGCACGAAGACGTCATCTCTCTTGGCGTCTTCCTGAATACATCTCGACTTGCACGCTGCCATAAGCTCTACTCTTCGGTCATGCTCCGACATTCGTTCCCATTGTAAGAAGGGGATCTCATAGGAAGGTTTCGAGGTGTCGTGGATCTCCTTATCCGGTTGCTTCCTTGATAGACGCTGTCTCGATCGACGACTTCCCGGTTGATAATCTAGCAACAAAATCGATTCGTCCTCATCTTCTACGAGTGCGACCACTGCGACCTTCTCCTGCACTCCAAAGTCAGGAGTTCTCATGCCACTAACGCTTCCAGGGACATTGGCAGCACCCGGCATGTTTGGCTCGACTTCATCACTAGGTGACAGTGATCCGTAAGCATCTCCAGCGGAAATAACGGCGCAGCGAGCTTGCGATGAAAGCGAATCCAAAGGGATGACAACATTCCGATACACACGAGGCTTCGCTTGCTGGAAACTACTAGGGAGTGAATTCTCTCTTGGCAGAGCATTTGCTGTTGCATCACGAGCAGTTTTTTGTTCGAATGGATTCTTTTTGCTACGTCGAGGTGACCGAGACGAATTTTGTGAGGAGCTCTTAGGTGAACGTGGCGATCGGGCTCTGAATTTGGACGGCGGTCGATCCACTATACGCGTTGGAGACGAGCTCAGAACACTTCGCAGATTATTAAATTCACCCGATACGTCCTTGCTTTCAAGAAGCTTGCCACTGACTGACGTCGGAGTTGGCGTGGACTCCTCTACGAACGCCTTTACAGGAGAAGCATTTGTAGGTGTTTTACCGACAGAATTTACCTTGTCTTCGACCGCAGGCAACGTGATGCTTATCCGAACAGAAGGAGTCTCAGCCGTCCACGCGCTCCGACCGAATGAGTCTGGCGTAAATGTACTCGTCTTCAAACCCGTTGAAGTGTTTTCTCGACGCGTTTCAAACTTTTTCAAATGTTTTCCTCCGCTATCGTGGCCCTTAAGATCCCGCTGAGCAACGAGATCCCGTCCACGCTGAAGACGCTGTCGTACAGCTTCCTTGTCCCCTGAACCGAGATGATCTACCCGGTCGATGCATCGATTAGTGTAAGCGAAGAGATCCAAAAATCTAGGCATAACAAGTTCAAGTTTACAGTCAGTAACATATACTCGCCTCCCAGTCACTATTGCAGCGTACACTTACCCATTCACTGGAGTTATGTAGATGCCTTTGATGAACTCGAGAACCTTAATCCGTCGGTGCGGGAAGAAAAAGTCGAGAGAAAAGCACCAAATCAGGATGATAGCGTCTTCATCATACGAAAAGACCCACGAGAAGTTGTCAACAGCAGGCTGTGGACTAGTGATGGCAGAAATTCCAGCTCCAGATTCACATAATATGCTGCGAACTGATGATAAATGCAAATCGATAGCGTGTAAGGCACGTTTCACGACTGAAATGCAGTTTGTAGCTTGCTGCTGAAGACGAGAAGACTGTGAAGAGATTCTCCCACTCGACGGCAACCTCCAGCACTCAACACTGCCGCTATCAAAGCCACAAAACAAGAATTCGGGGAACGCAAAAGTTGCAGTCGAAGTATCGAGCGAATAGGTCCGAAAGCAGGTAAGCAGCTCCCATATAAAACCTTGATCAGCATCAGTGCTCGGTGATGCACAGACTCTTTTTATCTGCCAGTGCTTGACATCACCCCCTCGACTAACAGGCAGTAGTGAAAACTTGCCTTCTACAGGCGCTACTGCATGTATGGTTGGATCAATCAATACGGCAACACTGTTAAAAACAGCAAAACGCTTAACTACTTTTATAAAACCCGCGTATATATTGAAAGAATTTGGAGAGAGCTTACCTGTCATTTGCATGCACTTGCTTCCTGGTTATTACGCGATGAGGCTCCATATCGCCATTCAAGAGAGGGAAAACGCTTAAGAACCCCATCGAGTCACCGACAACAACGCAGTCGTTCCCGTCAAATAAAATGCTGATAACCACTGTTGCGGTTGTCTTTGGCGCTTCAAAAGGCTCTGCAATTGTGAAGCCTCGATTGTCGAATAGATTGAACTTCCTCACTAACCCATGAGCCCATAGAGCCACGATGGAATCAGCTACTATGACGTAGTCAATAATGGGCAGGATTTTTTCTTTCCTTTCTTCGGTAGGGTCTGGGATCATTGGTAGGGATGCAAAGCGAAAAGTGGGGATCCCTTCCCTGAACACAACCACTTGTGTTGAAGGCATTTGTTGATAAATGGAGATATAACCACCATCTTCAGTGCCATCGAATCTCTTCAAAACTTCGCCGTTAAATAAATCGCAAGGCAGTCGGCCCTGGGAATCCGAGAAGAGGAGTTCCATAATGCAAAATCCAGTCGACCATACCGCGAAAGCAAAATTCCGTCCGTCAGCTACTCTTGCTGCATGAAGAGCGTTGTATCGTTCTGACGGAGGGTTAAACGGCAGCGCAATAGCAGATTGCTTATGGCCAGGTTGAACATCTCTATCATCTTCGCAATTACCAGATCTTGAGTCAGTAAGATCCGCAGTAGTGAACTTCGCACAGATATCTATCAGCATGACCTCGTTGCCAGTGCCATTTAAATTCATAGGAGTTCGACTATTCTCGATAAACGCTGCAATTTCTTCATCGTGCACGAACTCGCCGACTTTTCGGAATTCCGGCAACCCCTTTTTCACGACAAGCGTGAACTTACAGACTTTCCTGGTTAATTTCAAACGTATTAGTCAGATGCTTGTGATATACCAGTAAAACACGTTGCTTTACCTCATATTGGTTCTGAACACGAGATAAACACTGTTATCTTTGTCGCTACACTCCACGCTGAAAATGGTGTGTCGAGCCTCACGCAGACAACAAGGCAAACGGTGACATGACGCTGCGTCGAACACATAAACTTTAGCGCTCGTAGCAGCAAAGATTTTCTGCCCGTCATAACTCATTAGAAGATGGCGATAATAGGGCTTCTTTATCTACTCGGACATGTACAATGATATCACACTAGCATCAGAGCCGCCGTAAGTGATGCAAGTAGCAGCTCTAGACGCACCGAATTCGCAGCTGTGTGTACTCGCAACACCCCCTTAAACCCTCCAGTGTTCTGTGCACTAGCGATCACGCGTAGTGCCCACACTTTGATCCCTCCGTCTGAGTCCGCAGTAATGAGCTCTCGTCGGTGCGGATTTGCCAGCGCCGTGTAGAATTGCTCCCCAGCCTTTTCCACCAGTGTATGGGACGTCAACGACGTCTTGAGGTCTGAACTACAGCGCGTGCATCCTAATGGTTAAATTTTCAGCATAACAGCATCATAGCTTTATCCTTGGTACCTGACAATTCGGTGCTCTATTTGCCCCGTCGAAGTAGTCACAACGACGGAGTAGGCGTCCAGCTTCAATAAAGGCCAAAGTCAGCAGAGCGCTTTCGGCTCGTCACCAGTAAAACTCACCCAGGGAAGACATAGAGCGAACTGGTAATGAACGTTCTCCTCTGCCACTAGCGTCGCGAGCAGATCTCCACCTGCAGTCGGCATCTTCCCGTACAGATAAAGCGCAGTGGGCGTAACCACCAAAAGCTCGTGACGGATCTCATTGTATACGGAGGACACGGCATTACGCAGCGGGATCCGCTCGCCCCGCAGCGTCATCGTCATGTCGGCCAAGTCAGCATCCATGGTGATATTTGTAGCCATGTTGAAGTGAACGGTCATTTATGTGACCCACACTTTTCTGTTGCCCTCCATTGATTTGCATTGGTAGACTGGAAGAAGAATGGGTCGCACAGGTGCCAAGGTCAAGAAGGGTGGGCTGGGCAATGCCCTCATGCGCACGCAGAAAAAGACATCGCCCATCAGCACGAAAGATGTGGCTTCCAGCGCCGGCAAACACGTGTCCGAGCGCGACGGTGGCGATGCATCCGTGGCGCTGGCTTCGTATCTGGAAGGCTCCTCTCTGGTGCGGTGATACGCAAAGTAGCAGGCTACAGCACCCCACGCGTTAACTGGGTACATGTATTACTATTGCAGGACGATTTCCTGGCCAGTGCCGTGCTAGCCAACCGAGAGTTCACAGCCGTGAAGGAGAGTATCATGCTTATGGAGGAGGCAGACGCTGGTCCGCAAGTGGTCGAGTACGTTGAATGATTGACAGCGTGTTGATCGGAAGGATGCAAGTGGCTCACTATGTGCTGCTGAGTACAGGAAGGACAAGAATGTGATGCCGGAGATGACGTTTGCAGAGATGAAGGTGCCTCGTCGCCCGAAGTGGGACAAATCGACGACCGCCGAGGAGCTCAACCGACTGGAGAAAGAGAGCTTCCTGGAATGGCGTCGTGATATCGCCATGTGAGTGGGGGATGCTGTGCTGATACTGTGTATACAGAGCTGACATGGTACTGCTTGCTTCAGGCTGGAGGCATCGTCCGATCACCTGGAAGTGACCCCATTCGAGAAGAATTTGGAGGTGTGGCGTCAGCTGTGGCACGTCCGTGAACGAAGTGACATCATGGTGCAGATCGTGGACGCTCGCAACCCGCTGTTCTACCGGTACGAGCCGTAAGGAAGGCTAAATGCTGCCTTATCAAGTGATTTACACTGTATTTTGGTTTGCAGATCGACTGATCTGGATGCGTACGCGAAGGAAGGTGAGACGCCCCGTCGTACACTTTTGATCGTGAACAAGTCAGATTTCCTGGATGATCGTCAACGGTGAGTTGAATGGTTGTAGCTTCCAGTTGGGTAATATCTAACGGTATATTTGATATGCAGGACGGCGTGGGGAGACCATTTCAAGAAGGAAAATATCGACTTTGTGTTCTTTTCGGCCAAGGAGGCTCAGGACGAAATCGATGAGGAGGCGAAAAAGTTGCGTCAGGAACAGAGAAATGCCGAGAGCCACGACCAGTATGATGAGGCTAAGCCTGCGGGTGCACCGCAGGTTGTGGAAGCAGAAGCGGTGGTTGCTAAGAAGGAGACCAGCCCGTACCCCGTTCTCTCTCGTGTCGAACTGCTGGACTTTGTGACAAAAATCGCCACGGACGTGCTGGATGAAGTGGGCGTGCGAGTGAAAGACAAGGGGCTGATTAAATTCGGAATGATGGGCTTTCCCAACGTCGGAAAGAGCTCCGTAATCAATGCGCTACTGGGTGCGTCAACGTATTCGCACAAGACACAGCGCGTGGCTGTTGGTGCTACCCCTGGCAAGACCAAACACTTTCAGGTTTGTACAAATGTTTATGTTTTTTTTTTTTGCGATTTTATTCTCTTTCTTTTTTACTGGACTAATGCTACTATCCAACTTGTAGACTATGATCCTGTCCGACAAGATCATGCTGTGCGATTGCCCCGGTCTCGTCTTCCCTAGCTTCGTCAACTCGAAGGCTGAGATGTACTGCTGCGGTGTGCTTCCTCTCTCACAGCTACGTGACCATGTTTGTACGTTCAAGCATTGCATTGCCTGTTGTAGTAAACGTCCATGTTCTGATACTCGTCCTGTGTGAATACAGCCCCGTGCCAGCTCCTGTGTCATCGCATTCCGAAGCGAGTGTTCGAGCGAACGTACGGAATCAAGATCCCTATCTCCAAGACGGCAAAAGAAACGGATCCTGTCGGCATTTACGCCCTCCTGGAAGTGGGTATCGAAACTTCACTCAAATGTTGTAATCCATCTCACACTTCTTTCCTGTAGTCTTACGCTCGCAACCGCGGCTACACGACGACGGGCAAGGGAGGCCCCGACACCTCACGCGCAGCACGCGACATCTTGAGGCATTACGTGAATGGTCGACTGCTGTACTGTCACCCTCCGCCAGACGTCACGGACCCCACCATCTTCGACATCCATGAGCTCGCTAAGGCCCAATTCCCTGACCTTGTCGAACCAGAAACCACTGAAGACGAAGTCAACGAGGAGGCTCGTGCATCGACGGAGCCGAATGTGGACGAGGAATTGGATTTTGACACAACTGTCGAAGACAAGCGCGCGGTGAGCAAGCGATTGAAGAAGCACGGTCGAAAGGGACGTAAGGGACGTGATAAGAACCCGTACGAAGACTCGGACTTCCCTGGTGGTGCTGCCGGTGTTCACATTAACTCTGGCGGCAAGAAGAAGAACCGCAGGCCGTAAAGCTGACACCATGCAACACGGATAGATTTCTTTACGCAACTAGTGCTGTGAGCTTCAATAGGTACATGGACAAACAAAAAGAGTCCCTAATTAATCGGTCCATTCATTCGTCCATTGATTTTTGTGGTTTTCTTACCTACTTCGTCGTCTTGCATGTACACAGGATCAACGGATGGAAATGGCCAAGAAGTGAGGCCACACACTATGAAAAAGGAAACATTGCCTCACCACTTGCCCACCGCTTGTAGAAGCAAGGGCTAGAGCTGCAAAGTCCGCTCCTGCTACTTCTGCCCAGTCTCCTTTGTTGTAATTGCTTCGGTTTTCGATCTCTCTTTGTCTAAGCGCCGGGGTGGCAGAGGAGCTCGCAAGCGACAGCAACGCGCAGGCCTTAGTTGCCCTTGTGGTCTTCATCGATAGTATCCGCGTTGTACGTGAAACCAGGGAACTGTGCCTTGTTGCGCTGGGTCTCGCTCATCGTCGTAGTGACGACCGAGTCCACTGGCTTCTCAGCAGTGAACTCGACGTCGAAGTTGCTCGTGTCCATGGAGCCCAATCGGTTAGGCGGCTTGAACTCTGGCTGCACCTCCTTACGTAGCACAGCCTCCCAGTCAATACCCTTGAAGAACGGGTGCGACTTGATCTCTTCGGCGTCCGTGGGGCCGCTACCAAGACGGTCCGCCACCTTACGCGTCAACAGACCAGTGAGCAGGTCCTTGGCCTCAGCCGACATGAACGACGGGAAGCGCAGAGGCGCGTTCAGGATCTTGTCGTACATACGCTGCATGTTCTGGTCGTAGAAGGGTGGGAGACCCGTGAGCATCTCGTAGATAAGCGTACCGAGACTCCACCAGTCCACAGCCTTGCCGTGTCCCTTGTTCTCCAGGATTTCAGGAGCCAGATACTCAGGAGTACCACAGAACGTCTTGGTACCACCCGTAGCGCCAGCGCCCGTCACAGCTTCCTTGGAGAGACCAAAGTCCGTGAGGCGGATGTGTCCCTCCAGATCCAGTAGAATATTCTCAGGCTTCAAGTCACGGTAAATGATGTCGTGCTTGTGGAGCTCCTGGAGAGCGAGGATAATCTCGGCAGCAAATAGACGCGCCTTCTGCTGTGAGAAGCGGCGGTCCTTCTTGAGCCAGAAGAAGAGCTCGCCACCACCACAGTAGTCCATGACCAGGTAGAGCTTGTCGGGCGTCTGGAAGGCGTATGTGAGACTGGTGAGGTACGGGTGCTTGATGCTCTGCAAGATGCTGCGCTCCGTCTTGGTGTGCAGCAGCTGGTTACGCTTCACGAGTGCGGCCTTGCGAAGCGTCTTCATGGCATAGATCATCTTCGTGTCCTTCTTACGCACCATCATAACTTTACCGAAGGAGCCCTTGCCGAGCACCTTGAGCAGGTCGAAGTCCTCTACATTCACCTTGGTCTGCGGACGTGCGGGGCCGTCCATATCTTCGATGGCCACCTGCTCGATCGGACCCGAGTCGTCGTCTTCAAGATCGGCTGCAGCAATGAGGCGACACACAAACATCAGCTACACTGAACACTCCTATCTACTCAATGCCCGACAGAGCGCCACGTACACTCCTCCTCAGTCTGTTGTTGTTGCTGTTGTTGCTGCTGCTGCTGCTGGGCCTGCGCCTGACCAGGTGCCGGCGGGGGTCCGTTGGACGGATACGAAGGCGCGGCGGGCGCGCTCTTGCCGGCGTCACGACCGCCGTTGGCGTAGTTTCCGAACTTGAAGCCGCGCGAATCGCTCTTGATAGGCGGGCGGAGGCTCTTAGCGCCCTTGGATCCCTTGTTGCCCATGCTGGTCTAGTGGAAGAGGAGGGAGAAGAGGAGGGGGGAAATGTATCGGACGTGGAAACCTGTGCCGATGGACGAATACGCGAATGAGCGGCCACAGCGACAACAACACAAGAGGGGGAGGACGACACGTGGGGGAGCCACTATACAGAGAGCAAGTCTCCGCTGCTGCAGCGTGCGTACGTACCGGGCCTTTCCTTTACGCGCGAGCAAATGCGGACTGCGATCGTTGCTTCCTTCCACCCCGCGTCCCGACGACGTGCCTCACAATCTGACAACTTGCACACAATACTTACATAAAATCTTCGCCTTCTTATACCTTTACGCGACCGACCGTGAAATATATGGCGGTTTGTAAACCTATCCGACCGACCGACCATTTTTGGACAAGCAGCCGGTTCGTTTGGTTGAAGAGCAGAAACAAGCCATCTGTCGTCCGTGCTAAGTGCGATAAACGACACCAAGTCTTTGTATGCCATATAAACGATAAGTCAAAGAGCTATTTGTCCGTCGAGTTTTGCCCCAAATAGGCGTAGGAACACTTGTAGTCGATCCAATGTCCACTTTCAAAATTGATAGCAAGACCAAGAACGCATACATGCAAGCCGCCTCGTCATCTCCAGGCTGAAGTCCAGCAGCACGATCATCGTCACGCCTTGAGTGGGTACAATGATATTGCCATACACGCAGCTAGCTTCACCCTTTTCTCGGTGCGGTTCTACCTCCCGATAACCACCGCTATAGCGTTTTATATGATCAATGTATCATTTGACACGACGTGGATCAATCCCTATCTCATCGCGTATATCGGGGAGCCGATGGTTATGCTGGTCGAGCAGAGCTGGGTGACTTGGCCGCGTCAGAAAGAGTGCGCTATGTAAGCTAATACAAACTCGGCTACTTAATTTTTCGGGAAAAACATATTTAATCAAATATCCAATATCGATTAGAAGGGAGAATTGTGCTACATATCCAAACAAAGCATTACTTTTATCTAAATATTTTATATTTTCGAAATCCGGGGCTCTTTCGGCCAGTGTCTCCACTATTTTGAAGTCTTAATAAAGCATTATTAAATATACTGAGTATTATCTACTAACCTAAAGCGCTGCTGGATCTTGCTGTCTCTGTATTTTAAGCGGTATTTGTCTTGAATTAAACCGAGCCATAGCTTCACGCAGCGCTTGTGCATCGTTTTTGCCTGCGCGACGTTCTCTACTGAAGTTCTTAGTCGGAACGTGGATCTACAACAAACCATGCTGTGCTTGAGGTGCTGGTTGACCGGAACAACTACGTACTTACAACTTCAGTGTACGGCGAATTGTAAGTACGTAAGCGTTTCTTCTTTTTTACTTCCAGTTCACCCCTCGCGAAGTTCCACTGAACAACAAACCTGAAAGGACAGTCTGTCAACCGAATATGCTGTTTCGGACGGCTTCCTCCTCTCCGCGATCTCCTTTTCTTCCAATCGTGCGTACAAATGTACGCTCGTTGGTAAAGGTCGCAGCCTTCGGGAACCAACTCAGCCGCATCGTCACCTTTCTTAGTGCGCTTTAAGAGCTTATTTCGCTCGGCGCGAGACATGGTTTCTTTCACAGGTATAACTGTGGTGTAGTGATTTCCAAGTAATCGCTGAAGTGGCTACATTCAAGTTGCTCAAGTCACGAACGCTCGGTCATGCGACAGGTGGTGACCACGATGCAAGATGACCAAGGATACATCACTACCGAACGTTCGTGGGGTCCGACTATGACCAAGATGTCACTCAAGTCGGGTGGTTCGTATCGGTGAAGCTGGATCAACATTCAGCGGTCAAGAACCGACGGACTACGGTACTACGACTCGGTGACGGTTCGAGCGACTCTTCGGTGGGTGCGACTAGCAGTTGAACGCTCGACGGAGACATGAGAAGGCACAAGGACAGTTGACGTAACTGTTGGCACGTGTAGCAATCCATAACGGATCATAGTTCACTTGATATTTGTATACATGATTAGGATTGTATATTAGGAAGAGCCCGAAAGGGCATAACGAATAACAGAACAGAATTTCCACTCAAGCACACGAGCGAGGTCCGGCTTCAAGGTAAGCGTCTGGATAAGCTTGTTTGGGTGTGTTATACCTGAGGGTGGACTCAAAGCTTACTAGCGATTCATCCGGCAAGGCCAAGTGGGTGGGTGTATTGGCCGATTATATATCGGAAGTTTACGTGACGGCTTTATTGTGCCTATTTGCACGTGTTGGGGAGAGCAAGTTGCCTCCCATATATTCTTCCAGTCGAGTGTTGAATACTCGGTGCCCTGGTAAAAGGCTTACCCGTGCCTGGTACCCCCCTCCGCTGTTGGGACCACGAGGATTCATAACACCTACTAGCTTTGCTCGTGCTAGTAGCGTGTTCTTATTTTTACTGGTTGGCCTATATAAGCGATTTGCAGGTCCAGTCTGTCCCGGTGTAAGGGCTGAGTCTGGGTCTTCAGATCACGCCCCAAACGATCGTTTACCGTTCTGGTAGACGTATTGTTGTGGGTTTATCCTACCTACACTAGTAGCTAGAGCTGCCGTGGGAATTACAACACCACAGTACACTAACATCTTCTGATCACAAATTGATCACTGCGGACTTCGTATTCAGAGGAGCAGCCCGTCTTCGATACCAATCACATCTAAAGTGCCACCAAGCAATGCAGCTTGCTCGCTCAGAACTCGTCCATAACACTAACACTCGTGACCTGTACACCAAGACCCTCAAAGACACCCTACCCACGACCACAGCAGACGACGGCTCCGGTGTAGCCTCTCAATGGGATTCGGTTATAGACTGCGTCCTAGAGGCAGGACAGCAAGCCATTGGATTCCAGACCCCTCTCAGCAATCGGAAGCACCAATATGACGACCCCACCCTGGCCAACTTATCTGAACAACAACGCCAACTACGCCTTCGAATCTACAATGATACATCCGCCAGCACCACTGTGCTGCGACGCCAACAGAATGCCCTGTTACATCAACTCCGGGACCGTTGCCGCGAGCTCACCAACCGGAAAATTGACGACAAAGTGTCCATGATCGAAGCCACCAGCGACTCCCACAAGATGTACGCGGCCGTCCGCGCCATCACTCGCACGGCACCCCAGAAACTTCTCCTTCGCGACTCAACAGGTAAGTATATACTCCGAGGGAAAGAAGCTAACAACATCGTACGCGACCACTTCCAAGATCAATTCCTCCACCCGGCCAGAACACTTGTCGTCCCTGATACAACAGCTAAGGCACTAGACAATCCGATCACACCGGACGAATTCCAGCGCGCACTACGCCGTCTGAACAGCAACCGTGCAGCTGACCCAGATGAAATCCCTGCTGAACTACTCAAGTCCGTCGCCGACGAACTCACTCCACGACTCACTGAACTACTTAACCGCAGCTTCGCCCGAGGAGAACCAATTGACCTCGGCAAAGGGACACTGTTCTGTCTACAAAAGCCCAATAAACCACGCGGAGTTTGCTCCAGCCTCTTCCCGATTGTGCTTCTGAACACCATACGGAAGGCCGTCTCGCTGATCGTGCTTCATCGAATCACGCCTGCAGTTACCGACTTTCTTTCAGGATTTCGCAAGTACCGCAGCACAGCCGACGCTGTCTGGGCCCACAAATGGGTTTGTGCACAAGCCCAAAAATTCCAGGATATCACTCACATTCTCGGCATCGACCTATCTCGCGCGTTCGACACAATTGACCGCGCAAAGCTGCTTGAAGTCCTTCGGACCTTCTTGCCCGACGACGAAATTCGACTCATCCAACTGCTGTTATCGAACACCACGCTATCACTACGCGTTGGCAAGAACTCTCTCAGTCCATTCCACAGCAACAATGGTACCCCGCAGGGCGAATCGCTCTCACCAGTTTTGTTTGTTATATATCTAGAAGCAGCCTTTAGAGATTTAGTTACACCCTGCCATGCCTCCCGATCTGCTAGAGCACATGATCGTATTTGCGGACGACGCGGACTTCATCTGTCATGATCCCCAACTCGTCGAATTGATCCAAACTCACGCTCCCGCAGTTCTCGCTCGCTGGTCGCTCCAAATGAACACGTCCAAGACGGAAATCACGACGATTAAGAGATGCGCGCCACCATCCGCCAACAAGCCCCGCAACGGGGCCGAGGAAGAAGCCTGGAAAGGAACGCGCAAACTCGGTTCATTGCTGGGCGACGGAGAGGACGTATCCCGCCGCAAGACACTTGCCGCAGCGGCTTACGGAAACTATGGACTATCTGGATTCGCTCTCACAAAATCACCGACAAGACTCGTATCAAGCTCTACAACTGCTATGTCTTACCGATACTACTGTACAATTGTGGAACATGGGCACTATGTGGTGTAGCGATTTCCAAGTAATCGCTGAAGTGGCTACATTCAAGTTGCTCAAGTCACGAACGCTCGGTCATGCGACAGGTGGTGACCACGAT